ACTAGGCAATGTAGAAAACATACTCTGTTGCTCTTCTGAAAATAGCAGAATTAACCAAAATTTCCTGGAGTACTTGGGTTTAGCAGTTGACTGGAGTGAAAATTACCAGAACTTTTTTGAGGGGGCACCCTGAAAGTCCGAGGAGTTGTTGCTGTTACAAATTTACAGGCTCAGGTGTAATCCAGCTTTGCTTTCAGTGGAATCCAAGTTATCCCTGCAAAGATCATAAAACTGGGTGATGGCTGCTCATTCTATCACTTGTTCTTTTCTCTGAACACTCACTTGGCCTTTCCAGCCTCCTGCCACTTGTGCCCGGTTTATACTTTGCTGTCCAGAAGGTTTCAGATTTTTGTGCTCTGATGCTGTTGAGAAATCGCAGAGATCACCTGGGATGTTCCTTGCTTTCCTAGATTTCATTGTGGCCCTTGAGTCTCAGGCTGATTGTATGATGTTGACAGTCCAGTTGACCATGCATCCAGTTGTGTGATTCTTCCGCACTATAATATGGGACTTTGCATCTCTTTGCCTTCTGTGTCTTTCACACATTTTTATGATGCTTAAAATTAAGCTTTTACAAATGCTGTTTGCCTTTATGATTCCAGAGGAAAATCTAGGATCTTGACTTCTAAATAGTTTTGGTTTATTGGTTTGGCATCTCTTGACATTCTGACTGGGGCCCTCTATTCTTGTAGTGCTGCCCACAGTTGTCAACCTTGGAGTGCTTCCCTTTTCGGTTGTTATTTTGGGGCACAAGCCAAATCCAGTGCCTGTAACCCTTGTGTGGCTTGTTGGGCTTGCCTCCATACCCTAGGACAAGTCGAGAGGCTTTCTAGCACATGTTGGAGGTGTGTCTTCACACAGGGTTGGTTTTTGTGAGTACCCGTTTGAGGTTAAACTGGGCTTATTTCAGTGTGACTGAAGTTGTCCTCCGCTTTGAATAGGAATGTCCATACATTGTGAAAACTTGAATAAAAGGAACAGAGCCCAACTGATTCTTTTTTTAAATTTTTTTTTGTATGGTAGAAGCAAAAATAGAGAATGACATCTAACCCTGCTTTCTCACACTGTGTTCTCCTGGTACATCACTGTCTGAGAAGAATGTGCTAGTGTGACAATTGGCAAGGAAAGTGATGTGTACAAATAACTCTTCAAAACATTAAGTCTGGTAGCCAGTGGCATAGAAATAAGTGATGCTTCCCACAAAATCTACAGATGTGGATGCAGGGAAGCATTCTCTGTTTGCAGCCTACAGAAGGGCAAATTGTATCTTCTTTGGCTTTGATATCAGGAAAGTTTATCTTGAAACATAAGAATTCTTCCTGTTGGAAGACAGTACTCTCCTGTGGAGAGTAAAACAGCTCACCTCAGGCTTTTCTTTTTCTCCTTGCCTAACAAGACAGGTGGAATTAGTGGGGATAGAGCTTGGAAAAATGTTCTTGTGACTACTGGGCACCTCAGGTGCTTTATTTTCCAGTCACTCATGTGACTGAAGCAGGACTGACAACCCTCCCAGCCTTGTTTTCTGTCACCCTTGGCCCTTGGTGACAGACCTGCCAGCCTCCACAGGTGCACATGAGCTTCCTGCTCTTGGTTCCATGGGAACAGTAACTCCATGCAGCCAAACACATCGGAGTGCCCTCCTAGATGTACTGGTGGTATTTTGCCAGGTTTAGAGAAGGGAAGACTGAGAGATAGGGATATCTTGAACTTTGGTCTTTTGTTGAAAAAGCATAGTTAGGATTGGTTATTCCGGCAGTTGTTGGACTGCGTGTTGTTTGTAGCAGGGAAGGTTTGCTGCTGCTTTTGAAAACTACCTTGTGGGGGTTTTAGCCAAATAAGTGTGTTTTATGCACAAAAATAAAGAAGTTCAATAGTAATAACATTTCCTACTAGAAATAAGACTGACTTTTTCAGCAGCTGTGAATTATTTCCAACTTCTACTAGACTTTTGGTGTATGGCTTTTTTAACTGGTATCTTTAAGACGGTATTTCTCAAATCTGCAGCATTGCAGCAGACCATTGTGTCTGAACCTGTGATCTGTTCATGTTGAAATATTTTCCCTGAGCAAGCTTGGGATTTTCATCACGTGTCTACCTTCCTGCCATTTTTAGGGTTTTAGTGGCAAAAAAATCCTCTTTTGAAGTGCCTGTGTCTTCCAGGTGTTTAGAATAGATTAATATTGACATTTGTGTTTAGGAAAATATGTGGGTTTTTTCTTGGCATATTTGGTGACAGAGTTAAAATCCTAGGCTCTGATGCTGATTGTAAATCACTTTCAGGATGTATTTTAATTGAAATTCAAAAGTGGAAATGCCTGTGGCTTCCAGGACTACACAATAAATGACAGCGAATGAACCCATCATGATGGAGCTGTTTGGTGCAAGCTTGCCTTTGATGTCTGTCTACTGATGGCAGTGGACTTCTGCTGAGAATAAACTTAACTTGAGATTTCAGGTGTAGAAATACTATTGATGAGCAACTGTTGAATAGCATTGTCCTGGTTTTAGCCAGGATGGAGTTAATTTTCTCAGTAGCTGGTGTAGTGCAGTGTTTTGGATTCGGAGGGATAATACACTGTTGTTTGGATTATGTTTATCCTAAACCAAGGACATTTTCTTGCTTGTGTCTTATGCTCTGCCAGTGCGAAGATACACAGGAAATTGGGAGGGAGCATAGCCAGGACAGGTGACCTGAACTAGCCAGAGAAATATTCCCCACCGTGGCACGTCATGCCTGGTATATCAGCATACTTACTATGAGTATGCTCTTTTCAAACTTTCTGCTGGAGTGTGCCCACCTTGTACATGTCGGGTGTTATTAATCTAAACTCTCAGTAAAATGGGAACTCAGCAATGGCTGAATGAGTTTCTTCATAGTCAGGCTATGGGGAGCAGGTCACAAACTAAAAATCTCTGAAGTTCTGCAGTAAGTTAATTAAATCAGTACCAGTACCTTAGTGCTTGGGAATGCAAGTCTTCTACTGGGAAAGAATTTATTTATTTTTCTTGTTCAAAATCAGTAATTACTCCCTCGTAATCACTCCTCTGGTGCAGATGCAGAAGCAATAGATGAAGCAGAAATTAGTTAGGCATGCAGTAATCACAGCAGTGGCTAACTCAGCTGTACATTAGCACAAGAACTAATGCTGGGGCTCCTGAAGCAATTTATTCAGAGCAGTGAGGCTCACAGCTCCTTGTCTGTTTTTCCATTAAAATGCATAACACTTTGTTTTTCACACTGCTCTGTACTGAGTATATTCCATTGCAGGAATGGAGGCTGATTCTGGCTGTTTGCTGAAGGAGGTAAGGGTGAGGGAACATCCAAAGGGGTTTGGGTATGGGCAGCACAGCTTCAGCAGCCGTGCATGGGTCATGCCCTTACATGCCTGTGAGGGTCAGTTGTTCAGAGGTGAATTCTATTCTTGCTTGAGCAGCAGTAAATAAGTTTTGCATCAGCCTACATCATCTTTATAAAAGCAGAGCAAGAATAAAATTAGGCCCATCTATGCCCATTACTGTCATTTATTTCAGTGTAGTACTTTGGTCAAGGCACTGCTTGTTCTTTTAAGGGAAGTGGAACTTTTTGAGCAACATTCTTTTTAGAGAATGAGCTTCCTTTGGGTTATTTGCCGTGGCATGACTAACTAAATAAAAAAGATCATAATAAAAAATAATCATTATATGGGGCCCTGTATGCACAATGTTGGTTGTCTATGACAGTGGACAAGGACAGACTGCTCTCAGTTCTGAACTTCTTCTCGGGGATTTTCTCTTGAACATTCAGGACTGGAGAATAACTCCTTCAGATTAGGAACTGGCCTCGCACTAGGCAGTTGTTGATCTCGCGTTCCTGAGAGTTAATGAGACGAGAGGTAAATCCATGTGTAGCTTTAGCAGACACCAAAGAGGTTCATGTTGAGTACTGTGTGTGAGTTGTTCATGTGGTCCTGGAGATGTAGGATATGAATGTCCAGGTGCTGGTGAGCCATGTAGACACTTTTCTCCCTGAGCATCTCTGTGAATGGCAGAATGGTTTTGCAGATGGTACTGGAATGTGTAATACTGTGTTCCGAAACTTTGCAAAATGCCTTCCACCACAGTTTTTAAGGCTGGATCTGTACATCCTATCCTTACACACACCAGATCCTACAGCAGCCCGGGTGGGAGTTTTCTGAAGGTTTCCTTACGGTCCTGGTACATGGAGAGGCTTATCCAAAGTGCTTGGTGTGAAGAACATAGCCTGGGGGAATGGTTGGATGTGGCAGTAAGAATCTCCTGTGCTGGGACTGGACTTACCAAACTCTGAAGCTGTGACCTTGCTCAGCTCAGAAAGGCTGATGCCTCCTCTTGGCAAGTGCTTCCTCCTAGTAGGCTATATCATGGGCTTCTAGCAAACGAGGTGTTTTTGATTAACGCTTTCTTACCAAGTTTTCACTTTCTTACTGAGTGTCACAGGAAAAGCTCTGCGACAGTACTGATGAAGGAAAATGAGTTGCATTAGTTTTGTTTTTGGATTTAGCTTAGTGTGCACTAAAATACATAATGGCACTGTTGTCAGATCTAATGGTTATGTTTCTTACTACTTGTGCAGCATGGCATTATATTTGAAGTTGTGTTCCTCACCTCTGAACTGTCATTGCTCTGAAAGAGCGGTAGGTTTCACCACGGGTAAAGGGTGCCCTGAGCGCATGCTTGCAAAGATGAGGCACATGTATTTTTTATGTCTGAGAAGTACTTTCCTGTGGAGTTAAACACCCTGCATGTCACATCCCCTCCCTAGCCCCAGATCTTGAGGGATTAAACAGTCTATACAGAGTTTTCCTGGAGTTTAGTTAAATGAGGTACAATTTACACATAGCGTGTTTTGTAATACGGATTCATACTTGCATAGGAGTATAAAAATAAGTTGTACTGTTGCCAAATTGTGTTTTACTATTAAGCTGGTATGTCTGACTTGTTTCTTCTGTCTCATTTTGAATCAGAAACAGATACCCAAGGACATGGTCGACATTTTTAATGCCCCCAGTGACAGTGAAGATTTTCCAGGGTTCCAAGATGATGCTTCCAGCCAGAGCTTGTCAGAGAACCACTATGCTAGTTTTGATTCCGCCGAGTCCGGAAAAAAGGTAGGAATGGATTGCCATGGTCCAGTAGTGCTCTTGACCCTGTGTCAAAGCTGTACAAACCATAACTCACACCACAACCCATAATTTGCAGTCCTCATATTAAAAATAAATGTAAACAAACTTGCTATGCTTTTTAGGGTTTTATGATTGCTTTTGAAAATTCCTTCATAATATGAAAAAGCAAATGAGTTTCATCAGAAGGCAAATTTAAGTGAAATAGTTAAGTGTAGCAAACAGGAAAGATAATTACTATGCTGGGCTGGTGTGTTCTGGGTATGTAACACTGGAAATGCATGATAGTAGATGGGCATTTGTGAGTATGCAGACTTCAAGGTATTTCTTCCAGAAACTGTCAGTGCTGTTTCTGCACTAAAATAATGTTTTAATAGTGGTGACCCGCAGAAATCATTGGCTCCTGCTGTGATAGTGAGATTTACTGGTTGTGCAATTTACTGTCATGATGGTGAAGTAGCTTTGGTCAGCACAGTGATTTGATATTTTTACTGCTCTGATTTGGTGGCTGGAGGTACCAGCTGAATTCAGAAAATAGGAGTAGAACTGATGTGGTGTCTTGGCTATCAGAAAATTTAGGTTTTAGTCTTTCAGAAACTTATATATTTGGTAGACATGCGATAATGTATTAAAAGATCCTTTAGTCATTTGTGATCTTGAAAAGGTCCCTCTGTTTCATTAATGAGACAATTGAAAATACCAGTTTCTTTTCTTTTCCTAGTCTGTCAGGTCAGTACCTGGTTAAAAGGTGCTGATGACAGGGAAGATGATTAGTGTTAGCAAAGGAAACAGACAAACAAGGCTTGTACTTGTATGTACTGTTTCTGACTTTTTACTTGCTTTTATACTGCCTTTTTAGGCAAACTACCTCAGGAGAGTGCAGAAACCTTTTGGGGGTAGATGCACAGACTGTGCTATGGGGAAAGATGGTGGCTAAAATGCAGTGAAATATACTGGGCTCTAAATTGGTTTGTAAACTTGTTGCTAGACAGCAGTACTGGTAAGTTCAGAAAACCTGGAGGTAGCTTGCTCATGTGCTTGTGGCTTTGTGTGGAGCATCAAGAAGGATCAGTGGGGAGAGGTGGTGCTGGTGGATGGGAAGCCTTGTGTGGGAGCCTGAGCTTCTGCTCCTCTGCCTTCTTGAGGTCTACAGACACCTTACTTTATTTCTCTCTCCCTTGGTTTCCCAACTTGTGGAGATTATGATAATGATCTTCGCTGCAAGCATTTTAACATCCTTTGATGAAAAATGCTGTGGAAGAGCTAGGTACTGTTAGTTTAACGTGCGTTACTGAGAATCCCATTGAGACTTGTTCCAGATTTATAGCTGGCACTGTAACCTTCCTCACCAATCCTGTGTTTCCCTTGGGATGAGAATTATTTTAACTTTCTATCAGTATTGAATTTAACTCCTTTATCTCTAAATAAAGTAATATCTGGATTTTCATCCAAGTGCAACAGAATCTACAGTCCTCACACATCAGGGCATAGGTACTTGTGTAGGAAGCAGAAAGGTTTTAATGTGAAGGGCAGAACGATGGGAAGTTCAGAAAAAAATCTGCAGTTGTTGGGAGAGGAGGCAAGGTAGGTGCCCTGCCAGGGTGATGAATGGGATGTTAGTGCATCAGGATACACAGGATACACAGGACCCTTGGATGCTGATGCACAGGTGCTTTGAAAACTAGTGACCTCTGTGTGCCTGCTTTTCCTCAGGGCTTACTGCAGTTCTGCTCCCAAAATCTCTCTCCTGTAGGTATCCCTGATGCATATTTTACCTTGTGTAGACTGTTCTTCATAGGTGTAACGGCATAGCTCTAGGTGTATTGCTTTTAGTTGCTTTAGCTAACAAACAGCATGTTTCACTCCCTCAGCCCTCATGGTGGAATTTCATGAAAACACAGAGTGCATAAATATTTGTTTCCCTCCAAGAAATGCAATTTAACTTTAAAGTAACTTCCCCATTGTGTTTGTTCCTTTCTCAAGCGGCTGCACTGCAGCTATCAACAAAGGAATAAAGTAACTTTGCTCCGAGAAAACTCATTGCAATTACTCATAATAATTTGTAGATGTTTAAGTGTAAGAAATAGCATATGCAGTAACTCCTCCCCTTCCATTCCCCTGTAAATTTTTCCACTCATCTATTGTATCTGGTTTTGTCTTAATGTAAAGAAGTGTGTAATTAAAGTCAGGGAAGGGAGGGACTTGAAAGGAAGAATGAAGATATTTAGCAAGTGCATTGTATTAAAGGTTATTTTTGTTTCTCATGTGGGAGGAAAAAATAGCAGAGGAAAATTGGGGAAACAAACTTATATATTGCTGACTTTCATGAGGCAGGTGTGGTATGAATATGGGTTACATTCCAGGCACGAAGAAATCTTTCAGGAGACTAATAGGGACAAGTTGGCAAGATGGTCTTCTAGTTTTGATTGGAAGTATGGAAATACATTTCTGATAAACTGAATCTATAAAACAGAGTTGAGCAGTTGAAGGATGGAGGGACGCTAGGCAGGCCATTTTAAGCTCTGGATTTGTGGTGGTGTCTTTCAGTTCAGTGGTGGTGTAAGAGCGTGAGAAGGAGTAGACTCCGTCTCCAGGAGCCTTTAGTACTGCAGCAGCAAGCCTGGAGAAGATAGTAGTTTCTACTGCAATGTGAAAAAAGGAGGGTTCTTCCTTACTGTGATTGTGGTTTGTGTTTTCTTTTATTCAAGGCCTGTTTTGTTACATCCAGAAAAAAGCATACTAAGCAACATGATAATTTACACATAAGAAAACTGATAGTTTGTTTTTATTGGGTAGTAATGAAGAAGGGGAGGAAGAGGTGAAGAAGAAAGTTTCCCATACAAGAAGCAGCTCAGTTAAAGCCCTGTGCTCAAAATGAGGGAAAAAAATCCTGCTAAGTTAAAATAACTCAGTGTTGAAACTCTGAATGTCATATATTTTTCTTCTGATGGGCTTTGCCTGCAAAGTGTATGCCATATAGTTGGTACTGTCTTGAACCTCAAAATCTGATTATTGTGGCTGTGTGACTACTCCATATCTGACTGTCTCTCACAGATACCGGCTGGTGTTTTTACAGGGGGTCCAATTTCAGTCCAGATACCTCACTAAAGAACTGCAGAGGATTTTCACTGAAGACACTGACTCTGAAGCAGAAGTGTTTGAAGGCTTCACCTCAAGTGAGGTGCACGTGAACAAGAAAGAAGTTCTGGTAAAGGCAGTCGCACCCATGTGAATGTATATGTTGATTTCTTTTTTCCTCTCTTCTGTGTAAACCTCATGCTCTAGTAGGAATTTTTCTGATACACTGTGATGTTCTTTCTTCATGCTGAATTAAAATATATTCTCTTGAAAGAGAAAAAAGCTTAATGTAGTGTAGCATTGCATGTTAGAAATAAGATCTTCTTCCCCTGCTTGTAGACTGACTGTGCTGGGCAAGGTTGTTTCTCTGGAGGCAGCTATGTCTGTATCCCAAACAATATTAGTATGTGGATTTCATGTTGATCTCTGCACAAGAAGCCATCACGTACCGTAAACTTTTAAAAATATGTTGATTTAGGTGAATTTAGGATGCTGCCTTTGGGTGGTGAGACTCCTGTCTAGAATTAGTGATTTTGAAATTACCTTTCTTGTGTCTCAGCCAATAATGTAACATGGGATTCTTCCTTGCCTCTAGACGGTGAAGTCAGACTTGAGTGATGAAGAACGTGCTAATTTATTGAGCAATGAGAAAGAAGAGGAGGAAGAAGCGAAGGAGAAAACTTCCCCCAAGAGAAGAAGCTTTGGCCTTCGTGTTGCTTTGCAGTTTCCCACTAGAAAGTCATCTGAGAAAAAAGTGCCTGAACAGGCTTTGCCTGACTTACCTCTAAAGGACAGTGAACAGCAGTTCACACCTCTTTCAAAAGAAATAAGCTGCAAGCAGTCGGACAAACTAGAGGGCTCTGCTTCAGAGTCTGAAGAAGACATTAAAGAAACACAGGATGAAAGTTCCAATCCACTGCTTAAGAGAGCCATAAATATAAAGGAAAATAAAGCCATGGTAAGACTTGCGAGCAGTGCTTTGTTCTGACATTTACATCTGAGTACTTAGCTTCAGCATACTTGAATTTTGAGGTCCCTGCTTTGGGAAAATCTTAGTGTTTTGGTTTGAATTTTCCTACCTGGAAAAGCCCGAGGGGATCCTCACCACTCAGATGAAATAGTCTCAAACAGGACTAGCCTGGTCAAGTTTAAAAATAGTTGAACCAAGCGTTTCTAATGTGGATGTGAACAATGTTACAGATGCACAAGTTTTGCAGCCTTATATTCAGAACATGTCAAAAAACCAGTTGGTCCCTTCAGGTGGTTCGTGGTGTCATTTGCACAATAGAGTTTCTACTTTTTGTTTGTGTATGACAGGTCTGTTACAGTTACTGATTGGAAAGCCAGCTAAAAACTGCTAAGGATGATAAATGTCATTTTTAAGTTGTATGGAATGTGATTTTTACGGTTACACTTCACTATATAACTGCTGAAAGTGTGAGTATGTGAGTGTGTAGGTGTGGAAAAGAGGCACAGATCATTCCCTAATGCTTGTTTCTCTGTTGTCCAACATGACACCAGCTCTCTTTAATTATCATGCCATGTAATCTGAGTTGGTATTTGGTCCTTAGCAGCTCCTTCAGAGGGTACCTCTTGGGTGTGTGGGCCTGTAGTTCCTGTGTAAAAACTTCCATTAGTTTTGTACCTGTGTTTCTAATCTGTTTTGTACTTCCACTGCTGTTGTGTTGGTCTTGCTGCTCTTCCACCCTTCTCACTTTCCACTCTTCCTTCCAGTTCAACCATTGCAAAATTCACTCATATCCTAGGTGCAGTACTGTAATGACATTAAATAGCTCGTAATAAATGTCACACTAAAGTATTTACTGAGAAGTGATATATCCAGCTTTTAATCTCTTGATTACTATGGCAGTCTCAGACAGCTAGCAGCTTGGCTCATCCTTGCTGTTGCTGGCTTTTCAGAAGATAGCCTCAATTCTGGACTTCCAGAGAGGTCAGTGGTTTTTTTGGACCTGTCAGCCACTGCTTCTGTGGAAATGTACCTCC